CGTAAAGTAGGCGCACTCAGTGGCTGAATTGGGATACAGGTACTGCATGGAGTGCAGGTGGTTGGGTGAGATGGAACTTGGCACCTGTTGTGTGCTGGTATCACAGGTGCTCACAGGTGATGGACGCAGTTGCATGTGGCCCGCGGGCCTATCAACATTAGAGGGAACAGAGCGCACCCGGGGACTGCCGCTGCGACTAAAACCCATTGAATTACTGCCGGCCAGGGAGCTGTGATCCAGGTAGTGGTTGGAGGAGTTCATGCCCAGCTTGCCCTGACTAAGGAAGAATTTTTGGCTGCGCTGGTTGACCATGGGTTGTCGATTTCGACGGCCGCGATTGCGGATGATGAGGGAGATGACTGCACAAAAGCAGATCAGAAAAACACAAATTGGCACGGCGATGTAGATGGTGAGCTTTCGAGGTGTGGCGTTTTTTTGATCCGCAGGCATTTCGATCAAGCCGTCATCTAAAAAGTAGTCAAATCATGCATTTAAAAGGAGGTTTACTCTGATAGAGAAACAAAATGGGCTTAGGCGCATGCTCCATCATATGTCTTTTTCTACTTTTGATCAAATGAATGAAATTCCTAGCAGGGACTGATGGTACAACTGCTGAATTTCACTAGTAAGTACAGCTTTCTCTTCTAGGCCTCATGCGGCTAGTATAGACACATTTAAAGTTTTCTATTTCTCTTTAGTCTGTAAATATAAACTAGTCACTAAATGTTTGGGATTTCGTTCCTCCCTCTTTCCAAATGAAAGTCGCTGCAGCGCAAATTCCAGAACCCATAGCACTCAGTTTAATTCAGATGATAAGGGCTCCAAAATTTCAGCTGGTCAAAATATTTAAGTAGGCACTAACAAACTTCAGCACTTAAAAAGATCAGGACGGTTTATATGTCCCCCTTTCCAGCAGGAGAAGTAATAGTGCACAGTCTAAGCAAAAACCGTGTAATTAAGTGCGCCTCATAGTCAGGTGGGAGATTCTAAATTGGTTGCTTAGACAACCTTGCTTGGGCAGTCAACTTACTGTATCAGATTTGGTGGATTCAATAGGCTGCAGTAGGCTAGATGGGTAAATTGACCCAAGTGTGATTTAATTTACGGCTCCCGGTGGGGACCACGTAGCTCATTTGGCTAGAGTGTTGGCTGTACTAAGGCCCTCCCTAGTTGTTGTGGGTTCGAAGCCCACCGAGGCCACAAAGATTTTCAGAAGTGGGTCAAGGGAATTATTCAGATCAGCCAAAACCCCCTATTAAAAACCATGCGATCGAAGCACTGTTTTCGCAGAATAACGTTGAAGGTGGTGAGGATCGATAATGAACGTAACCCCATCCCCCCCTTCTCCCACATGACTGACTGCTGCCCCGCGCTTGACAAGTTTTCAGTTCAACCTGGACTGGCTCGCTAAGGTACCCCCGCCCCCCCCCCGCTTTCCC